GAGAAAGGCAAATTACGGATCATACAATTACAAAGATATGCATATGTTAGCGAAACATTATTTGTAGTACTAAAGTTAATTTTAAAACAGCCACGATTTTTTTTTAGTTATCTTAAATATACGCCATTCGATCTAATTTAATTTTGTCTACCAAAACATATTAAGTTTTGTCTTCAAAAACATTTTTAAAGAATGATAGCGCACGAAAATGCGAATCGTATTAGTTTATATTTAAGAGTTTGTCGATTACGAAAAAGGTCAGTGTTTAATGGATAATACTAGTTATACTTTATGTATTTGTTACTGATTCGATCAAATTATGTTTACAGATATATTATTTAGATAACATTTCCAATAAGCAAATTGTTGATTTTATCCTCCCAAAATTCTATAAATAAACAACAAAAAAATACATTTTGTACGTTTGCTATTATTCTATTAAGATGCATTTATAGGTACAAGTATAGAATGTATTTTAAAACAGTTGTAAGCATAAAACATCCTAGTATACTTATCACTTTCCTGCATTAAAATAAAACAAAATGTGCATTATAAATTCTAAACTTATGATAATCATTTTGTCTAAATTATAAAAATGTCATCGCTCGTTTATCTTCATTTTGTCAATATAAAGAATATAATTATACAGAATTACAAAAAACTATTTTTAATCTGTGACATTTTAACAAAACACTGACGCCTCTGTCAATATGTCATCTGCCGATATATCATCATATTCAATGACTCACTAGTGAATAATTGTATGGTATTACATAATATTGGCAGCACCGATTTATATATTTTAGTTCAATACATTTAAGTGTGATTAAATTGCAATAAATCGAATTTTATTTGCACAACTAATGGAAGTTATGTTCGTCTATTTGTTTTTACAAAAAATATTTTCTATATTGCATTACACTTGTTTTCGCATATGGCATGTAGCAATCAACATTGTCATTGTTAATTCTAATTGTTAATAAATAACAGAGTTTATTGTTTACACTCAACGCATGATGTAGCTATAAAATCAACAGCGTATCATTATCATAATAATATTTGTAAAGTACGATATTAAGCGAAACATGAAATTATTTCGGAAATCTGCAATGCATGAAGTATGCATGTTAACAAGATTTAGTATACAATTGTTAGATTATTCTCCTACTTCTCCAATAATTATAGTCACTTGCTGAAATGTGAAACATCTAGATTAGATATTCATGTTTTTGTTTTATAATCATTAGTTAAGATTACTTTTTAAAATAGAAATAATTCGAAATGGAATTAATGCATGTAGAAGAATATTAATAAAAATTGTGAAAAGAGAACATATATGTTTATATTAATAGCTTTTCTGAACGGTAGCAGCTGCTATGTAACATTTTTTTTCATTATATTTCTCCATACGTGATACGATGAAACTGGTTGGAATGATGCTTATACGAATAATACGCAATTTAACCCTAATGAGGCAAAATGAATGCCATCTACATGATATATGGCTATTGCTTGCGATCAAACCTTTTAAAATATCACAACGAGATCTAGCAATCGCAATTTTGTATCTCAGGAGTGCAGTATTGATGCATTTTATTTAACTTGTTTCATCAGTTATGGCTACACCAAAATAAAAAAGAATAATAAAGCTTCATGGCATTATTACTGATCTTGTTGAGGGACAAATGTAAATGCACTTGTCTCCCATCTTTTAAGGGAATATTATTTTCAGGGAAAAACATGTAAGCTAATCTCGATACACTCTACACAAACGTTTATTATTGTTGGTGACGAGTAACGAAAAAGTCCAGAAAAAAGTCCATTATCGCAACAGATGGTTTTTCGTGTCGTATTTGTTAAGACTCACTAACTTTTTAAAATTAATAGGTATACATTAACTTTAATTTCCAATGCCGGTCAGATAAGTGATGGTCATCGAAACAGGGTATTATGTCATAGGGTTAATGTATAACTATGTTATAACATGTATGTTTTTGTATACTTTAATGTTTATTCTGTTTCAGAGACATAAATAAATATACAACTAGTCATAATAACATTATACTGCAATCAAATAGTAAATCTGAACACCAATTATAGAGATAGTAGCTTGTGTAGGCGTAGTGGTAGTCGTAGACCTGTATTAGATATTGGTAGTCGTACACCTGTATTAGCCATTTACCAATATTTATCCCTCTTACACCTGTAATCTATCTAACGTATTGATTTTCCCCGCACGAGCATATTAACCAATCACATTCGATCAAGTGATATCCGCCATACTTTGAAAATGTAAACAAGCCATTTTTGTGCTGAAACATTAAATATCCATTTTGTAGTTATATATAAATATATCTACAGGAGCGTATCTTTCCATGTTTCCATGACAATATTAAACCCATTGAAAATCTGTCGACCCATGTTGTCATTATATCCCCGAATGAGTGGCCCGGCGACAGTGGCGCCCAACGGTGTTTGGATTAGAGATACAGCACGGATCAATACAGAGCACATGAAGTGACTGAGATGTAGGATCATCCTATAGCCATTGGCAGTGTGTTACAGACATCTGATCAGAGGTTTTGTGAGTGCACTCGCTTTAAATTTATCAATAAGGCCTTATTATCTATACATCATTTGCGCAACTTTATCGCTAGTGTTCATATATAGCAGACTCTGCACTACTCCAGGACCAGTCCAAAGTAACATTTCATTCTGTGGATCAAGCTTCCAGGGAGAATCAACTGTGTATAACTATTGCAGAACTGAAATAAAAAAAATAAACAAGTGTTATAATATATTTATAATACATATTTTATCATTGATATAATTATATGCATTCTGTATGTAAATTGTATGTTATATATGTTATTTGGTAAGTGTATTTTTGTGTAAGTGTGATTTTTTTTCAGGAAAGTAAATTTTTGTGTACAAGTCCCAAATAGGATTGATACTTTGCACTTAGCCCCTGCAACACACTAACATTAGATTTGGTCAATTAGCATAAATAAATAGCTTAGGAAAGTAGAGTATATGGTGTTCAGCTGGTAGAGCATTAACTAAGATTTAAAGTCAGCAAAATTAAGTAAAGGTACAGCTAAATATAGAGATCAATTTTCTTCAACTTATAGAAATAAGTTGATAGAAAAATTACAATCACATTTGACAAATTTGGAGACATCTTATCTTCAAAATTGTCATTTAAAATCAGTACTGTGTAAAATATGGTATAAAATAGAAAATCAATCGCAGCTGCATCGCGAATCGTGAATGTTCGCTGACAAAATTATTTTGCAGGTAATTTGTAAAATACAGGTTTACAATACATCTGCAAAATAAAGTCATATCGATCGATATTGATTTATATCTAGCTACGCCACTGCAAATGTAATCGAACGTAATCCTTTAGCTGACCGCGGACAGTGGTAATTGTAATCACTATCGGAAAAATAGCGTTATAGTAATAGAGAGTCAGTGGTTCAGCGGATAGCGCGTTAGACCACGGATCTGATAGTCGCAAGTTCGAATCCAGCTCAGACCGGCAATTTTTTTTTTTCATTTTTTTTCAAAAGAACTGATTTACACTATATCACATATCAATAAAACACACATACCTACAATAAATAAAAAAGCAAAACACTATTACAAACGGTATACAAACACACTGAAATCGGAAATATGATTTGAAATATATAAAATTGCATTACAAAGACAAGACAAATTTTGTAAAGAGAAGAAAAAGTAGATTGGTGTAAAGTGTGAAGTAAAGAGACAATAAATTAGTGAAAACATATATTGTGAAGGGAATTGGTGAAGAGATTCACATGTATTGTGAAGTAAAGAGAAATAAAGTTGTTGAATAGATATAGTTTGAAGTGAAAAGAAGAGAAATTGAATTGGTGAATCAGCATTTTGAAAATTAAAGAGAAAGTGAATTGCCAAGTGAAATATTGTCAAGTGAAGTGAAATGAATTGATGTCGAAGTGAATTGGTGAAGATTTATATTGTGAAGTAAAAAGAGGAGAAAGTTAACTGGGGAAACAGTATTTTATGAAGTGAAGAGAAAGTGAATTGATAAAGCAAAGTGAACTATTGTGAGGTGAAGTTAAGTGAAACAGCATTTTATGAAGTGAAGAAAAAATGAATTAGTGAAGCAGCGTTTGGTGAAGTGAAGAGAAAGTGAATTGGCAAAGTTAATTGAAATATTATGAAGTGAAGTGAAGTGGTGAAGAGATACATTGTGAAGTGTAGAGAAAGTGAATTAGTGAAGCAGCGTTGTGTGAAATGAAGAGAAAGTGAATTGTTAAAGTGAAGTGAAATATTGTGAAGTGAAGTGTTGAAGAGATATATTGTGAAGTGAAGAAAAAGTGAATCGGCGAAGCAGTATTTCGTGAAGTAAAAAGAAAGTGAATTGTTAAATTGAAATATTGTGAAGTCAAGTGGTGAAGAGATATAGTGCAAAGTGAAGATAAAGTGAATTGGTGAAGCAGCATTTTGCGAAGTGGAGAAAGTAGATTGATGAAGTGAAATATTGGGAAGTTAAGTGAAAAGCGAATTAAAGAAATATATTGGGAAGTGACAAGTGAAGTGAATAGATTAGTGAAGTGAAGTATTGTGAAGGGAAGTGAAAGTGAAGTAGAATATTAGATTGACGAAGTGAAGTATTGTGAAGAGAAGTGGAAGTGAAGACGAAGTGAAGTATTTTGAAGGGAAGTTAAGTGAAAAGCGAATTAGCGAAGAAATATATTAGGAAGTGACAAGTGAAGTGAACAGATTAGTGAAGTGAAGTATTGTGAAGGGAAGTAGAAGTGAAGTAGAATATTAGATTGACGAAGTGAAGTATTGTAAAAAAGTGAAGACGAAGTGAAGTATTCTTAAGAGAAGTGAAAGTGAAGTAACATATTGAGAAGTGAACAGAATAGATTGGCCAAGTGATATATTGTGAAGATACAACTTAGTGAAATAAGTTACAAGAGTTGTGGCAGTGTTTTAAAAGAACAATGGAAGGAGCTATGTCTGAAAGAGAAAGCAGAAAGTTAAGAAGAGATGCTATAAGAGACCAACTACAAACAAGAAATGAACAAGAGATTAGAATGCCTTCAAATAACTATAGAGCAAATACGAACCAGCACGAAGCAGAAGATAGTGACAGAGATAGACAAGGCAGTTATACTAGAATATTACAGTCAAATGGCACAATTAATCAAGCATACAGAAGAGCCGATGACAGTTCAGAACAAAATAGCAATATGGTATCGAGAACGCCAGATTATGAGAACAGAGAAATACTACAGGATAGGGCAAACGTTAGTACGAGAAGAGAAAATACATCTTTAAATGGAAATTTAGTAGGAAGAAGAAAAAGCGTTTCATTTGACATTGATAGACAAGGTATCAATGCTGACCAACCAGAAAGTTCAGATGAATTCCAGACGCGTGATATTGATTATAGCAGCATAGACTTATCACAAGAAATGATGGTTCTAGATGAAAAGTTGGAGGTCTTAAGACAACAAAACGCTGATTTGCTAAGCCAAAACAATAGCGGAAACCTAGAAGCAACAAGTGATTATTCAAAGAAAGGTTCGTCAAGAAATACTGGTACACATAGTCCTTCGGTTGAAGAGTACAAAGACAGTGATAAACATAGAATGCAAAGTAGTACTAGAAACGAAAACACAAACGTTAAGATAGTTCCAGAAAAGACAGGGATATCGAACAGATTTATTTACATGGATGAGATATCAGATATAGACAAAGGTAATGATAAAGGTGATTATAGTCCAACATATAAACAGAATGGCAGCACTATGGCGCTAACCACTGGTTGAAAACTCAGTGTTTATATTTGGACAGAGTAGCATTTGACAGACTCCTGACAAACCATAAAATAGACAACAACAATGTTATTATCAAGACGATTTTGGACAAATTGGTGGTGCCGATAAAAGAGAGTACAGATATAACAAACCTAAAGATAATTTCGTCAGTGAACCATATTTTGAAGCTGATACTCATATAAATGATGGGAGATTCTCCACATATTATAGACGGAGGAATTACGAAGATGTTATCCCAGATTCAACAGATATGCATGAACACGTACATGGTTATACAGGAAATTACGGGGATATCAAACTTGAGGATTATAGAGGGATTAGAAATGACACTGTTAAACCAAAGATTGAACGTCGATGTACCGACGCAACATATAATATTGTTCCAGAAGAATATAGAGAGTATCACCCTAGAGGACAACAATGGATGGAAGAAGAAAGAGTGAGATTTGAGACAGAAAGAGAACAAAAACTGTTACAAAAATTATACGAACAAAACAGACAGATAGAATACGAGAGAGAAATAAAGGAACAGGAAGAAAGACAATTAGTAGAAAGAATTCGTAGACTGCAAATAGCGAAGGACGAATTAAGCCAGAAGAGAACGGAACGAGAAAGGCTTGAAAAAGAAATTCAGAAAAAGATGGAACTCGAAAGTCTGAGAACACAAAGGATTGTGATATTAAAACGTCAAGAAGAAAGATTATCAGACCAAGTTGGAGAAAATATAAGGAGAAAAGAATCCATTCATGATGACACAGAGAAGGAAAGCACACAATTCACAAAGGTAGAACAAAACAGTAATCGAAGTGGATTTGGAAAACCAAAAATTCCTCAGTTTGATGGAAATGATTTCAAAGTTTGGAAGATAGAGGTGGAATGTATCATTAAGAGTGGAATCTACCCAGAGTATTTGATAGCGCAGACAATAAGAAATTCTTTGAAGGGTCATACAAGAAAGGTTCTTTTGACAATAGATCCAATGGCTAGTTCTGCAGTTATACTCAAGAAGTTAGAAGACATATACGGCACTACGCAAACTGAAGACTCAATAATGCAGGACTTCTTCAATGCTAAGCAAGATGAAAAAGAGACCACATCTGACTGGGCACTAAGGCTAGAAACAATTATGCAGCTAGCAGTAGAGACCGGTGAAATACCTGAAAGAAAGAAGAATGCCTTGTTAAAACAAAGGTTCTGGAAAGGTTTGAAGAGTGAAAAGCTCCGTAACAATACTCGAGTTACATACGAATCTGATGCGACATTTGAAGTGCTACGTAAGAAGGCTAGAGTAGAAGAAGATGAAATTAAAAGAACGTCATCAGACACAAGAAGTGTGAAGCCAGTAAACACACAGACTACAGAAGTGAATGTTAGCAAAGAAACACAAGCATGTCAACGAGGCGAAATACAAATGCAACAACAAAGCATGAAAACAACATCGTTTTATATGGACAAACAAATGAATATGATGCAATCACTCATGGATAAGATGAATAGATTAGAACAAGAGATATCTAACATTAAGAAAGGTGGAATAGAAAACTCCAATAAAGGTTACACTAGAGATGCACGTTACTTTGAAAATCCAAATAGAGGAAACTACTTTAGAGGCAGAAGACAGTATTCTGGTGACTTCTATGGGCCACCAGGACGACCATATTATATGGAGTATTACGATAGACAAGACCACCGACAGAAAATACCACCTAAATCACAAAAAGAAAGCAACCAAGACAGAAAGGATGATAGAAAGAAACCAGAAGGAAAACCAGCAGAAAAGGATCAAAAAGAAAAGCCAGTTAAGGACGATTTAAACTCTTAAGTGCTTCCATCGCAGGGCATGATGAAGGCAACAACATTGGAAATTGCCCTAATGTCAACATTATGAACAGACTTGTAGGTTCGTCAAATGAAACGACTGTAGTTTTGGAAGGCGTAGAAACAAAAGCACTTATAGATAGCGGTTCCATGGTCAGTTCAATTTCTGAAACATTCTATAATCAATTACCCAACAAACCTTTTCTACATAGTTTAGAAGACTTCGGATTAGAGGTTAAAACAGCAAATGGAACATTTTTGAATTTTCTAGGATATATTGAAGCTACAATAGAAAGCAAAACATTTTCTCATGGCTCAGTTACAACTCTATTTCTTGTTGTACCAACAATTGAATACCATCATAATGTCCCTGTGTTGATAGGCACAAACGTTATACGGGAACTAAAAGAACACAATCCTGAAAAAGAAGATACACCAGATCCATGGAAGTCTGCATTTATGTCTATTGCTTCTGCTTCAGTTGGTATTGTTACGTCAACACAGCCTATTACACTTAATCCTATGGAAAGTAGAACAATAAGTGGCTTCGTACGCAAAACTAGGAATGTTGAGGCAGTCGTTACTGAACCAATTGAAGACAATTATCAACAAAAATCATTAGTTACCCCTCGTGTTGTACGACTTACTAATTCAGGAAAGACCGCACGTGTTCCAGTGAAGATATGTAACATTTCTGCAAAAGTTCTGAAAATTCCAGCTAAATCTGAAATCTGTCAGCTCAATGAAGTAAAGGTGTTAAGACACGCAGACATCGGCAGCGATAAACCTGAAAAAGAAAAGGAAAACAAATATGATATCAGTAGACAACACTTACCGGAACACACAGACTACATCACGTCACATCTTCAGACTGTACCTGAAAAAGAAAAGGAAAACAAATATGATATCAGTAGACAATACTTACCGGAACACACAGACTACATCACGTCACATCTTCAGACTGTACCTGAAAAAGAAAAGGAAAACAAAGTAAATGATGAAAGGAATATTAGACAAGCTTATGGTGTAGACATAGAAGAATCCAAACTTACAACTGAACAGAAACAAAAAGTTTACAATCTCTTCAGCAAATGGGAATCAGTGTTTCCGAAGGGTCCGCATAATCTTGGACATACTACAGCAGTCCGTCATAAAATTGAGCTCTCAGATAATACCCCATTCAAGGAACCTTATAGACGAGTCCCTCCCGCAATTTACAATGAAGTTCGAGAACATCTGCAAGAAATGTTGACAATAGGTGCAATCAAAGAGTCAAACAGTCCTTGGTCTTCGAACGTAGTTATCATTAAAAAGAAAGATGGAAACATTCGCTTTTGTATCGACTACCGCAAGCTTAATAGTAGAACGAAGAAAGACGCCTACCCTATCCCTAGAATTGACGATACCTTACATCTTTTGGCTGGTTCACAATACTTTTCAAAACTCGATTTAAAATCTGGTTACTGGCAAGTGGAAATGGAAGAGTCAGATAAGGAGAAGACCGCTTTTCAAGTTTGGGGAATTGGATTCTACGAGTGCAATAGGATGCCATTCGGGCTCTGTAACGCCCCAGCGACATTCCAGCGCCTCATGGAGCGATGCATGGGTGACCTAAACTTGAGAGACTGTTTAATCTATCTGGATGATATAATCATTTTCTCCAAAGACATAGACACACACATAGATCGTCTAGATGCCGTTTTTCAGCGTTTATCAACCAACAACTTGACAATCAATCCCAAGAAATGCGAGTTCTTCAAAAATAGTGTTACTTACCTTGGTCATGTAGTTTCAAAACAAGGCATACAAACAGATCCAGAAAAGACAAAAGTCGTCGAAAATTGGCCGATACCAAAATCTGTGAAAGAAGTTAGAAAATTTTTAGGATTTGTTGGATACTTTAGAAGATTCATTAAAGGATTTGCTGAAATTGCTCGACCACTAAACAATCTGTTGATAGGACATTCATTGAAAGGTGATAAACCATCCAAAAAGAAAAACAAAAGACAACCATTTGTATGGGGAAAAGAACAACAGTCAGCATTTGAAGAACTGAAAGCCAAACTGATCAATCCACCTATCCTCGCATATGCCGATTACGACCTCCCGTTTAAACTACATACTGATGCTTCTTCTAAAGGCCTCGGAGCAGTATTATACCAGCGTCAAGAGGGAATCGATCGTGTCATCGCCTACGCAAGTAGAAGTTTAAAACCGTCAGAGAAAAACTACCCTGCACACAAGCTGGAATACCTCGCTCTAAAATGGTCCGTCACTGAAAAATTTCCCGACTATCTTTATGGCGCTGTATTTGAAGTTGTTACAGATAATAACCCTTTGACGTATGTCACTACCTCTGCTAAGTTAGACGCAACGGGACATAGATGGCTTGCAGCACTGTCAAACTATAACTTCAAGACAACAAACAGATCGGGAAAGAACAATGCCGACGCAGATGGCCTTTCTAGAATCCCACAGAATCAGTCAAATGAAAAGACCATTAATGAAAATGTCATATCAGCAATGTCATTAGCAGAAACTTCACTACCATCAGAAACACCACTTGCATTCTCCGTCGTCCATCCAGACTCAATAGACATTGTTGATCGAGTCACATCGCAAGAAATTCCATCTGATATCTTAGAATCTGAATCACTGAGTTCCAAAGATTGGATAAAAGCGCAACATAAAGACCCAATAATATATCAACTTATAGAGCACATGGATAAAGGCACTAGACCGTCTGCTAAGCGGATCAGTGGAAGCATTAGTCCAGCAGCCAAATACTTGAGGGATTGGGACAATCTTGAACTCAGGGATGGTATTTTCTATAGATACAGTCGGTACAAAGGTCAACAGTATAAACAGTTAATATTACCAGAAACAATCAGAGAAGAAGTGTTTCAAGCCTTACATGATGACCTAGGACACCAGGGTCGGGACAGAACAATTTCTCTTTTCAAACAGAGGTTCTTTTGGTCTGGAATGGACTCTTACATCGAAGAAAAGGTCAACAAGTGTCCACGTTGCATCGCTAGAAAGTCACAGCCATCTATAGCCCCCTTAGTGAACATCTCGTCCAGCGCACCGATGGAACTCATATGTGTCGACTTCCTCAGCCTTGAGCGGTCCAAGGGTGGGTTTGAGCATATCTTGGTGATAACAGATCACTTTACCAGATACGCCCAGGCCTACCCTACCAAGAATCAAACAGCCAAGACGACTGCAAGAGTGCTATTCGATCAATTTATAATCCACTATGGATTTCCATTAAGAATACACAGCGATCAAGGTGCCAATTTCGAATCTGGACTGATACAAGAACTGTGCAAATTAGGAAACATCGCCAAATCTCGCACAACGCCATATCACGCTATGGGCAACGGTATGACGGAAAGATTTAATCAGACCCTGTTGAAAATGCTTGGGACATTGGAAGAGAGCAAGAAAAGTGACTGGAAAGCTTATGTCGGACCTCTGGTACACGCTTACAACGTCACGATACATAACAGTACTGGATTCTCCCCATATTTCCTAATGTTTGGAAGACATCCTAAGTTGGCTATAGATGCTCTACTTGGACTAAACTTTGACGAAATACAGTCGAAATCAAGAAATGAATACGTCAAAAAGCTCAAAGACAGGTTAACATATTCATATGCAAAAGCAAAAGAAGCTGCAGAAGATACAGCCATGAAAAACAAAGAATTATACGACAGAAGACCAAGAGCATCAAATTTACAACCAGGAGATATTGTTCTAGCCAGAAATGTCACCATCAGAGGGAAACATAAGATTGCGGACAAATATGAAACAGAACCATATATCATTTTAGAACAACCAAACAAAGATACGCCAGTATATGTCATCAAAAAGAAGAATTCAACAACAAAGAAAACTAAAACCTTGCATAGAAACCTTCTGCTTCCAATTAAAACAACAGTATCAAGTGACAACAACAACAACAGCGAAAGTACTGAAAAATACATCATACCACAGAGAAGGCAGATGAATAGCGAGCATCCAAATACAGAGTCGTCCACAAACTCCGAGAGACCGAAGCGACAGAGGCGTGTACCAAAGTGGCAATCTAGCGGCGACTGGACGACATAACAGTGTTTACAGTGAAAATGTGATACATAGACAGAGTTATGTAAAGACTGAAAACAAGAAATTGAACAATTCAGTGAAATTATATTGTGTACATACTTACCTCATATAGTTCGTCTGAAATGAAAGTACGATTACTTACCTGTTACAGCATGTAAACTGTGTAGACTTTGAATACTCACCATATATGTATTTTGTATATAAAGTCTGAAAGAAAGCATGTAACATATTGTGAAACTATATACTGACCTCAAAGGATACATAACTGTGTTGACAGATGTAAACGCATCGTATATGCAACCATATACTTACCGTGTGTGAGATCCAAGGGATTCATACTTACAATTCTTGAAGGAGATGATACTTACCTCTGAAAGCTCTCCATATGTGCAAAGAATGGAATTCTAAATCCTGAATCGCGTATATTTATTATTATAAGTGGGATTGAAGTATATTAAATGTATGTCCTATATTATATACATAATACTAATATACAATTATTTATTTCAGGTGGACGTTAACGCCACAAGCAGATAATCTGAATTTTTTTTTTCAGATGTACATTGTTTACTTGACTGAAAATGTCGGGACGACATTTTTGTAGCTGGGGGGAATATGTCATAGGGTTAATGTATAACTATGTTATAACATGTATGCTTTAATGTTTATTCTGTTTCAGAGACATAAATAAATATACAACTAGTCATAATAACATTATACTGCAATCAAATAGTAAATCTGAACACCAATTATAGAGATAGTAGCTTGTGTAGGCGTAGTGGTAGTCGTAGACCTGTATTAGATATTGGTAGTCGTACACCTGTATTAGCTATTTACCAATATTTATCCCTCTTACACCTGTAATCTATCTAACGTATTGATTTTCCCCGCACG